TAAAGGTAATTATTGGCTCAAAATCAAGTAGCTTTGAAGTATCTATTGGTTTATTTATGCTGGCAATTAGCAGAAAATATAGAATTGTTTGAACACTGAAGTTCTAAATACCATTCTAATAGGAGGAACATAGACAACCAACCTAATTGGTTTTAAAATGGGGCTTCAAGAAAGGGAGGAAAGTAGATCCGGGGAACTATAGTCACATTAGCCTGATCTGTGTCCCGGTGAAGATCTTGGAAAAAATTATCAGAGAGACCATTCTTGACAAACTGGCTGATGGCAACATCCTGAGGGATAGCTAGCACAGGTTTGTTGTGGGTAGGTTTTGCTTGAGGAATCTCATTTCCTTCTACGACCAGGTGACATATCACCTGGAAAAGGGAGAAGAGATTGATGTCATATATCTTGATTTAAGAAAAGCCTTTGATCTAGTATCTCATGATCATCTCATAGAAAAACTGGCCAACTGTGGCCTCAGCTACATCATGGTCCGCTGGCTGGGGAATTGGCTCCAAGTTCAGACCCAGAGAGTGGTAGTTGATGGAGGTCGATCATCGTGGTGCGCCATGACCAGTGGGGTCCCCCAAGGTTCCGTCCTTGGGCCTAGACTCTTTAACATCTTTATTAATGATGTGGACATTGGTATCAGAAACGGACTGGCCAAGTTCACTGATGACACCAAACTTTGGGGTAAAACATCCACACCTGAGGATAGGATGGTGATCCAGGCTGACTTTGACAGGCTCAGAAAATGGGCAGATGAAAACCTGATGGATTTCAACACTGAAAAATGCAAGGTACTCAACCTTGAGAAGAAAAACTTACAGCATGCTTACAGGCTCAGCAATGCTATGCTTGCTTGCACCATGGCCAAAAGGGACTTGGGGGTCATGATTGATCACAAGTTGAACATGAGCCACCAATGCGATGTCGCAGCTGGTAAAACAAACAAAACTCTGGCTTGCATCCATAGATGCTTCTCAAGCGAATCCCAAGATGTCATCCTCCTGCTGTACTCAGCCTTGGTGAGGCCGTAGCTGGAGTACGGCATCCGATTTTGGGCTCCACAATTTAAAGAGGATGTGGAGAAGCTTGAAAGAATGCAGATGAGAGCCATGTGTATGATCAGAGGGCAGAAGAACAGGCCTTATGATGAGAGGCTGAGAGTTTGGGGACTCTTCAGCCTGGAAAAGTGCAGGCTCAGCGGGGACCTGGTGGCTGCCTACAAGTATATAAGGGGTGTAAGATCAGGATCTGGGGGAATGCCTGTTCTCCAGGGCACCCCAAGGGATGACAAGGCAAATGGTCACAAATTCCTCCAAGACCGTTTCAGGCTGGATATAAGGAAAAAAAAATCATTACTGTCCAAGCCCCCAAGGCCTGGAACAGACTGCTACCAGAGGTGGTGCAAGCACCTACTCTGGACTCCTTTAAGAGACATTTGGATGACCCCAGGTGACTTCCTGCCCCTGGGGCAGGGGGCTGGACTCTATTATCTCCCAAGGTCCCTTCCAGGCCTAATGTCTATGAAATCTATTACATCTTCAGAAGTTTATGCACAGGTCTGTATGCCGTGGTTGCCTATAATAGGAGGGGACTGACATCAATTATCTGTGGGGTCCTTTTTGTCAAAGTTTTATATTCTTAATGGATATCATAGTTTCATAGTAGGTAGGGTTGGAAGGGACCTGAGCAGATCATTGAGTCCGACCCCCTGCCATGGACAGGAAAGAATGCTGGGGTCAAACAACCCTGGCTAGGTGATTATCTAGCTTCCTTTTGAAGACCCCCAGCGTAGGAGCAAGCACCACTTCCCTTGGAAGTTGGTTCCAGATCCTAGCCGCCCTGACTGTGAAGTAGTGCCTCTTGATAGATAGCCTGAATCTACACTCGGTCAACTTATGTCCGTTATCCCTCATTACTTCTGGTAGTGCTTGGGGGAACGGGGACTCCCATAGCCTGCTGGTCCCCCTGGGCCAGTTTGTAGACAGCCACCAGATCCCCTCTCAGCCTTCTCTTGTGGAGGCTGAACAGGTTCAGGTCCCATAGCCTCCGCTCGTAGGGCCTGCCTTGCTGTCCCCAATCATGCTAGTGGCCCTCCTCTAGATCCTCTCGATGCTATCCACATCCCTCCTGAAGTGCAGCACCCAGAACTGGATGCAGTAGTCCAACTGTGGCCTGACCAGTGTTGCATAGAGGGGGAGGATCACCTCCTTGGAACTGCTCATAATGCATCTGAGGATGCACAACAAGGTGTGTTTAGCCTTGCTGACCACATCCCCACATTGGTGGCTCATGTTCATTTTGGAATCAATAATGACACCAAGATCCTTTTCTGCCTCTGACAAGAAGGGAGTTCCCCAGCCTGTAGGTATGCTGCTGGTTCATCTTCGCCAGGTGCAGTACCTTGCACTTGTCAGTATTGAATCTCATCCTGTTCTCATCTGCCCACCCCTGTAACCTGTCCAGATCTAGTTGCATCCTGTCCCTCTCCTCCAGTGTGCCCACTTCTTCCCACATCTTAGTGTTATCTGTGAATTTGAACAAGGTGCTTTTCACCCCCTCGTCCAAGTCACTGATGAAGATGTTAAACAGTGCGGGCCTGAGAACCGAGCCCTGGGGACCCCACTGCCCACATCCCTCTAGCTCAAAAAAGACCCATCCACCATGACTCTCTGGCTGTGACCCTCCAGCCAATTTGCAGCCCATCTGACTGTGTAGGCATCGACACCACAGTCACCTAATTTTTTAATGAGAATGGGGTGAGAGACAGTGTTGAAGGCCTTCCTAAAGTCCAGAAAGACTACGTCCACCATGACACCTGCATCCAGGGATTTTGTGACCTGGTTGTAGGAGGTCATCAGGTTGGTCTGACAGGACCTGCCTCAAATGAACCCATGTTGGTTTCCCCTAAGCATGATCTCCCCTGCTGGTCCCTCGCAGATGTGCTCCTGGATAATTTTCTCATAGAGCTTTTTCAGGACTGAGGTAAGACTAACAGGCCTGTAGTTTCCTGGTTCCTCCTTCCTCCCTTTTTTGAAAATGGGGACCACATTGGCCCTTTTCCAGTCCTTCAGCACCTTGCCAGAGTACCATGAGTGCTTGTAAAGCTGTGCCAGGGGTCCCTCAATGACCTCTGCTAATTCCCTCAGCACTCTGGGGTGGAGTTCATCAGGACCTGCTGACTTGAATACATCTAGACCCACCAGAAGTTCCCTGACTAGGTCCTCACTGACCCTGGGCCTGGCAGCACCTCCCCTGAGTACATTGGGGATCCCAGTGTGGGGGATGCCCAGGTCCCTGCTCAAAAAGATGGAGGCAAAGAAATTGTTAAAGTGGTTAGCTTTGTCATCTGGTGTGACCACCAGATTTCCTAGCATATCCTGCAGAGGCCCTACTTTACCCGGTACCTTTTTACCCTCTATGTATTTCAAAAAGGACTTCTTGTTATCCTTGATCCGGGTCGCTAGTCCCAGTTCCATCTCTGCCTTAGCCTTCCTAACAGCCCCCCTACAATCTTGAGCAATGGAGATATACTCCTTCTTGGTGATGGCCCCTAACTTCCATTGGGTGTACACCTCCTTTTTAGCTTTGAGACATTCATGGATGCTTTTGGTGAGCCATGGCAGCTTTGGAGCTCTCCTTCCCCCTTTGATCTGTGTGGGGATTGTCACCCTTTGGGCTTGGAGGATCATCTCCTTAAGGAACGACCACTCTTCCTACACTCCCAACTGCTCTCCCCTTTGGGACCTCAGTGCTTCCCCGACTAGTCTCCTTACCTCATTGAAATCCACCCTCCTGAAGTCTAGGGCTGTCATCTTGCTGCAGGCCTTTGGCACCCTGCGCTGGATGGTGAATTCCAGCAGGCAATGATCTCTATCACCCAGGTGGTCGAGAACGCACCAGGTCCTCACCCATGGCCAGGACCAGGTCCAACAAGGCATTTCCAACAAGTCCTGGTGGGACTGTGCACCTCCTGGGTTAGATGGAGGTCCTGTAACTCAGCTAGGAACCTACGTGCGCGGTCAGACCTGGCTGACTCCTCTTCCCCGCAGATGTCCAGTTAGTTTAGGTCACCCATGATGACCACATCCCTTGACTTAACTGCCTCTGCCAGCTGACCTGAGAATTCCCAGTCCAACTCTTCCCCCTGGTTGGGTGGCCTGTAGTAAACCCCTACCGTTAAGTCCCTTTCCCCCCGACCCCCTTGTATATGAACCCAGAGCACAACAGTCTACCCCTCCTCTGACCCAGTGCTGTTTGTTGAGGATGTGTATTGCTCTTTGACATAGAGCACCACACCCCCACCTTTCCTCCCTGTTCTATCCCTCCTGTACAGCCTGTAGCCTCGACGTTTACTGCTCAGTCATGTGTTGGATCCCACCAAGTTTCAGTGAGCCCCACTATGTCCGGGTTAGTGTTAGCTAGCAGACGGGCAGGTTCCTCCTGCTTGTTCCCCATACTATGAGCATTAGTGTAGAGGCATTTAAGGCCTCCTGAAGGAGCATGCACCACCCCCACCCCTAATCCAGGATTATCTGGGCCCCTGTCTCTTACCTGGGTATTTCTTATGCTTGTTGCCTGCCTTGGCTGGGCTGTTTTTGTGGGTGGCTCTTTGTTTGGTGTTCCGTGGCTCCCTCTGTCCTCAACTTCCCCTTCCCCTGATAAACCTAGTTTAAATCCCGCCGGAGGAGATTGGCCAACCTGAAAGAGAACACATGCTTACCTTTAGGGAAGAGGTGGAGCCTTTAATATCTGAGTCATTCAGCCAAAAAGACCCCTTATGATGGAAGGCTTCATTGCAAATAGTTGTGGTGGGATGGTTTCTTCTGTGGAACTTACCATTGGAAACTGATGGTTTTCAGGGGGGAAACTTAGGCCTTTTTAAATGAATGACTAGGTTGTAGGGCAGGGAAGCTGAAAACTTGCATTTGAGAGGATCATGGACAGTGTATAATTATGGGCATTAATCTAATTTTATTTTATCTATATTCCAGGTTCAAAATTGCTCATGCATCTATAGGATGGAAGAGGAGTATTTCAAATATACAGAAGACCTAGGGACGATGAGAGTGATAGCAAATAAGAATTCTGGAAAGATTTAAATTCTGCTGTTGAGTTTAAAATACTTTCATTTTAGATGGTAAATCAGTATGTAATTAGGAAAACCACCAAATGTTAGATTTATTCAACAAAATTTTGCACATGAAGGTTGTATCAGTCAGAATGATAAAACTAACATCACCAAACTGGCACCTGCTTTTGCTCATTCCTCCCTGTAATGTAACTTATAACAAAAAGCAAAACAAAACACTTTAGATAATAGATAATAGATCTTATGTTGTTTAGGCATATTGTTAAATTATACTGAAAAAACCCTCTGCAGATATATCCACCAAAGTGCATGTTGTGTTGATCAGTCCATGTTTATAAAGGTTTTGGTTATGGCTGAAGGGATTAGAAATAGGATTCACTGGCATGGAATATATGAACAGGAATGCCCAAGGGCCTGAAAACAGGCTCTGAAAAGAGATATACAGCAAATTAGAAGCATAATTCAGTATATGGGTAGAAGCATAAGAGCAAAGAATGAGTAGGATTGGGCATTAGGCAGATGGGGTGGCATTCTGTTATTTTAAGTGGCCAGTTTTGGTCACCTAAGTGACATTTTGGGCATACAAAACTACATACATGCTCCCCTTTTGAATGCATAGTAGCATCTAAGGCATTTGCCTAGGGAGCAGAAGAACCACTATTCTGGTCTTCCTTATCCAAAAGGAGCAGGGGTAGGGGTTTAAACCTGGATCTCTCTGACTTAGCTTGGAACCACCAGAGCACAGGTAAAGCTTTATCTAAAGCTTTCTCTATCACCCCTTTTGAACCTAGTCCCTAGTCAGGAAGTCATGAGAAGGTAGCATGTAGGAGAGATGTGTAGCCACGAGGAAGTAAGCAAACTAATGAGTATGTGGCTCAGTGAGGTGGATGTTGCTCTGGAAGAAAGGGAACCCTGCTTCTAGTCTAGAGCCTTGCTTCCAGTGAGGCAGAAACTTCCACCCTCTGCTGCTCCCAGTTGTTTTTTCCTAATGACTAGTACATACAAGGGACAGTGGGTCAGCTGCAAAAGGAGCACCAGAGGTACAGGTACTAAATTTAATGCATAGTAACCACAGTGCATTAATGCACATGTAGATGTGCCTAATAAAACCTACATTTAAACCTTTGTATGGGGTGGAGGGGGGAAAAGCACCATGTAGATGCCCAAAACATGTTGCTTTGGCACTCGGGAAAGGAATAGCAGTAGTAGTAGGCCACCATCAATCTTTCTAGATCCTGGTGCATGTGTGAGAGGTTCCCATGACCATCAACACACTTGTTCAGTCAGGAGTGCAGGTTCCCAGAACTACCATCTACCCTTTAGACCGGACCCAAAGACCAGACTGAACCTGAATATTTGGCACCTTAAACAGCTGTAGCTCTATGCACATCCAGGAATCAAACCCAGGTCACCCATATGGCTCACATGGATTCTACCACTGAACCACAACAGCACTTACTACAAAAGAAATAGAAAGACATCCTAAATATTTCACAAGTTACTGTGTATTTTGCTGCTCCTTGCTTTATGATGGACCAAAGAACTCTAAGCCTTCAGTTTTCAAATTCACTTTTCTGAACCTTGTAGTTAGCAAGGAAGCGAGAGAGATTCCTGAATTTTTTTACAAGTGGTGTATACAATGAGCCTGGATGAAAACTGCCAGCAGAATGAAAGAGAGGAGGAAAAGCAGCAGCTTGATGCTTATGTGATTATAAACACCCTTGCATGGTGCATTTAGTTTACAAAACTAGCTCTCTAAAGGTGTAAATGAACATCTGTTGTTGGTGCTAATTGCAAAGATCTAAAGTGGGGTGACTGTGATTCGGGAAGGGAGAGATTAGCAAGGCCTTACAACAGCAGCATTGATGTCTGAAAGGGATAATTTTAGAAGTGTGCCTTATTAACTGCAATGTTTTCTAGTGACTATTAACTTTTAAATCAGCCAACTACTTGCACAGGAGACCTGATCCTGTGCCATTGATCGTGGGTGCTTGATCCTTGATAACAGCCTCGGTGTCTAAGAAACTAAGCCTAAAAATATTCCAAAGTGACTATTGATTTGAGGTGCTTCTCTTTTTGAATGTCTGCCTTGAGACATCTTTAAGACAGCCTTCTCAGACTTTTAAAACTAAGTACTTCCTTGGTAGAAATCAACTAATTTCAAACTTTGCACCTGCAACTCTGCCATGTGTTAGCAACATCTTACATTTCTCAAATGATACATCTTCTGCACTAACCAAGCTAGTATTTCACATCTCATATAACACTGATATGTCTTTATAATGTCTTCCTGCATCTTTTATTATATTTGATTTGATAAGCAATGAAATAATCACTGCTCACTGAAGAACAAAGCAGGTTTGAAAAACTTGTAGACATACTTTTCTGCTTTTCTTTCTGTTTAAATAAAAATGTTTGCAAAATACTATTTTTCTTGAACTATTTTAGATTTTGATTAAGATAACCTCCCCCCCCTACCCCCCATAAAATCACCATGGGCAAAAAGTTGAATTAAAAAGGATTTTAAAAAGATGGAAAAGGGATATTGTGGAGGAAAGATCTTTTCCTGACCAATGCAAGACTTAAGGTAGAAGAGCTTTCTGGGGTGTTGCAGAGGATGCTCCTTGGATGTTCCTTCCATACTCCTGTACAGGTGATTTTTTTTTTGAGGAATAAGTTTGGAATATGAAGCCATGTTTATATAGTTCAACTGGTCAAAGTCACCCATGGATATTACCAGCATTGGGCTGCTATATAGATGCTCCACGGTCTTAGGTGAATATGTTCCATACTTCGTAGAATCATAGAAGTAGGGTCAGAAGGGACTTTGCAGATCTTCAGGTCTGACCCTCTGCCTGGGCAGGAAGAAAACTGGGCTCAAATGACCCCAGCTAGGTAGGCATCAAGCTGCTTCTTAAAGACCCCCAGGGTAGGAGCCAGCACTACTTCCCTTGGAAGTTGGTTCCAGATCTTAGCTGCCCTAACTGTGAAGTAGTTCTTATGGATGTCTAATCTAAACCTTCTCTCCAACAACTTGTGGCCGTTATTCCTTGTTATGTCGGGGGGCGCTAGGGGAAACAAGGTCTCCGCCAAACCCTTCTGGTCCCCCCTAGTGAGTTTATAGATGGTCACCAGGTCCCCCTTCATCCTTCTCTTGTGAAGACTGAACAGGTTCAGGGCCCTGAACCTCTCGTTGTAGGGTCTGCCCTGCAGTCCCTGGATCATGCAGGTGGCCCTCCTCTGGACCCTCTCCATGTTGTCCACATCCCTCTTGAAGTGGGGTGCCCAGAACT